ATCAATGCTTGTATCTCCAGACTTGCAATGCATTACGTGGAACAAGAACACTTATCTGCTAAAATGTGCACATTTGAAAACTACATGAAGAAAAATGTGTACATTTCAGAAATTTATGTGAAGATGCTTTACTCAATGAGCACAGTTTGAAAAATGCACATACAATGCACATTTTAAGGCACAAAAAGATCCATAAAGCTTTATTTCCATTAAAGAGAGAGAGAAAGAGAAAGAAAGAAAGAAAAGAAAATTGACATGGATATAGGAAATGGAGGAAATCTGAAGAGCAGGACCTGGTGGAGCTGCACATTACTAGAAAGCAATGCTGAATTATCCACAGAGCCTTACAGGTTTTCCTGATAACAGAAACCATTACAAAATTGTTCTTGGATGGTTGCATAGACAGTAACTTATGATCTGGTGTTGACCAAGAGATCCATTGGAATTCTGTGACAAGGGAGCAGCCACCCATATCTTGCAAAAGGACAGCACATATGGTGGCACCTTGGCTCACGTTCACCTTGGTTCATGACCAAATTGGGTCGCGAACAAAAATTTCTTGAACATTTTGACATGGGTTGTGAACTCTGCATTGGATGGTGACCAAGATCGCAGCCATCTCCCCCCATCCCCCGAGGGGGAGATGGCCATGATCGCAGTTGCGTTCGTGCAGGGAAGACGTGTGATCACAGGTACGCTCCTGCAGGAAAGCCAGGCACAATCTCTCCCCTCCCCCCAGTGCCCCGGGATGACGGGTGCGTGCAGGGATGATGGGCACGTGCAGGGATGATGGGTGTGATCTCGGTCATGCTGGGGGGGGGGGCAGGGAGATGGCTGCATTTATGCTTGGGGTGGGGAGAGGGAGATGGCTGCGATCTTTGTTGTTCTTTGTCGCTTTGCTTCACATTTTTCTGATTTAAAAAAAACATTTACACAACAGATTAACCTTATTTACATTTAACCTTTTGGGGAAATTTAACTTGGCTCACGACCAATTTGGGTCATGACCAGAGTCCTGGAATGGATTAAGTTCGTGAGCCAAGGTACCACTGCACTAGGCAGTTGGTGGTTGCTCTCTCTTCTGAGAAGAGCCTCAAGCCACCAAGCTTGCAAGATTGCAGTGAAGTCATTTCAAAAATATGCATAGATTTCACATTGTGGTCTTTTAAAAATGCAAGAAACTTCACCTAGCCCAAGGTTCTTAGAACCTCAAACAAAACTTTTTCACCCATCCTTGTTTTAGTTTGTGAGGGGTCGGTGACATGAACTCACTTTTCTGTAGAGCCTTCGTGACTGGCAACAAACAGAGCAATGAAAAGTGGAGACGACTGGAGATCCCATCTGTCTTCCCCTTCTGTGTATCATATTGGATGGCACATGGCAGCGGAAGGAATCTGTGTTCTTCCATATATTGTCACACTCCAACCCTCATCAGTTCTAATCAACTTGACCAGAGGCCTGAATGAATGGAGCTGGAGTCCACAAGAGGTGGAGAGCTACAGTTTCCCTGCTCCTGGTTTATAGCTTCCAATTGGTTTGGAAGTAGGCAGTTGTTTATGAATGGAGCATTCTGAACTGGCAGTAGGGATTTATGAATCAGACATGTTTGATTCTGCTCCTTGTCTCATGTTTCCCATACTATGAATGGAATCCTATGGAGATTAATGTAAGCCCTGACCCTGGAAGCTCCCTCTTATCCAATACTGAATAGAGATTATCTATTCAGTACAGCAGAGATTATCTTTGCTTCCCTGCTTTTCCTACTCTGCGTATCTCTTAGATCTCATTTGGGCTTGCTTCTCTGCGTATCTCTCTCATTTGGGCTGCCTAGCTATGATGTTTAGCTATGAAGGAGAGGGGAAAAGGCTGGGGTGGCTGCAGGATGCTTTGTATTTGTTCTCTCTGGTCTCCTTCTCTCCTACCTCCCTTTATCCCTTCTTCATGATGGCTATCTTCATGATGTGGAGACCCCACACAGTCTCCAGCTCAGACCTCAGAATGCCAAGTATGCTGTCCCTACCCTTAGAAGGGCAATAGGATCAGTCCCTTTATGCATTGCATCCCATTTCTGCATCAGTTTGTGATGGGGTGGAGCCAAGATGGCAACGGAGCAACAGCTTCTTTGCTGAGCTCCTCATCATATTTCATTTGTTCTTATTTGATTAATTTGTGATTCATTTTTCCAAAGAAGTCAGCATACTTCTCATGTTCAATTACATACACCTTTTAACTGTACACTTTTCCAAATATACCCATTTTTTCAAATGATGTGCTCTAATATGATGTGGTATTGTGCACACTTTCACTTAGTATGCATTTGTACTTGATGTTTTTGTACTTAGTATGCATTTGTACTTGATGTATTTCTTGATGTTTTATATTTTTAATTCATTCAGTAACCAAAGTTCACTAGCAGGATTGCAACAATTAAAAGACGAAATTGCAAATAGTTGAAAAATAGAATATGTTTTTGTGTACACTTTTTACAATTATAAATTGCCTTGCAAAACTTGGGCAAGAGCAAATATTGCAGTAGCACCACATTCCAGTTTGTGTATAGCTTCAGAAATTATGCATTTGGTAAACTAATAATAACATGCAAACCCAAGACATCTCATCCATCCCTAGCTGGCTGAGCTGCTTCTTTTTCATCAGTTATTACTTCCTTGATTGTTGTCTTGTTGAGACCTGCACTTTATCCTCCCTCTCCGTCTAAATAGTTTGAGTAGCAGCAGGTCTGAATTTCCCACTGGAAGTAGGCAAGGACAATGTAGCTAACTAATTGGCAGGCAGTGTTGAGAACTTGTGACTGTCATTCATGAATCAATGATGGAAGAGACTGCATAGAAAACTGAGGATGACCAAGGCTGGAATAGTGTCAGGCTTTAGATTTAATTTATTTAAGGGTGCAGTCCTGTGTGGATAACTATAAGTCCCTGAACTCAGATACATCTGGGGATGTGATGCAGCCAAGAGGAGCAGCAGAGGGCTCTTCTCTTCTACATATTCACTCCACAGCATGAGAAGTCTAGAGCAGCTTCAGGACACCTCATATCCTGATTTCCCTAGTTCTTTCCCTCCCTGTTTCCTTTCTTCCCTCTGCAAGCTCACATTTCTGCCCTCAGTCCACAGCCAGTGTGGGTCATTCTGCGTCTGCTGCAAGGAGGAGAGGAACAGGCTGGCACTATGTCTGCCTTCAGTCCTGGGAATCTGAACTCTCCTGTGGCTTCTCAGACAAAGTCCAGGGGCTATAGGATCATTCCCCAAGAAATTTACTTAATTCTACTTTTGACTTATTAGGAATCAAATTCAAAATGCAGTTCTTTGTTTGTATTCATTATTTATATTGTATTCTTGGTTTTGTTTTTTGTCTTTGTTTTAGCTGTTTCCTTGGCTCTTGCCTTGAATGGAGTCTGCACAAACACTATTAAATTAATAGTGGGGAGGTAAGTGTTAAATATAACAAATGTTGTCTCCAATTTAGATATTAATTTAATTTATATACTACCTTTGTCCCCTCTCCCCCCCCATAAAAAAGGCACCTAAGGCAGCTAGCAGTAGCATTAGAGTTGAAAACAAAATCTTAATTAAAGCATAGCATGAAAACAAATAGGTTTAAAAACACAGCTCCACAAGCTGTTGAATATGCATTAATGAAGCTCTGCTGATTCTGGATGGAACTGGCAATTAGGGCATTTATATGGCCAAAAATTAGTATCATCACAGTTTTTGATGGTTGTCGCAGCATCCCCTGTAAGGTAAGGGATAGCTGTACAGCGGATGATGAGACAAACGACTTGTTGTGACAGCTGTGCTATTGTTCAACTGAAATGTCCATTAAGGGTAGGCTCAGGAATGCATCCGAAAGGACAGGAGTGCTGTGGAAGCATTCATTGATTATTAACAAGGGTTTATTGCAAAAGGCGGTAATACTGCAGTCCTATTAGGAAACTATCCCCGTATTTGTCTGCAGACTGCTTCTGAGGAGCCTTTTCCTTTGGGTTCTTTTAAAAGTCATGCAGTGGCATTGTGACATTTCCGTTCCATGACCCATCAGTAGAAGATGGGCAGGCTCTTGGGCAGAAGCTGCAAATATTAATCAGCAGCAAGGGATCTGCTCTTCAGGTGCCATAATCCCTGAAATAAAAGCTTGTGGGTTGGGTCTGAGCTTACTTAGAGGAGGAACATTGAAATCAATGGGACAATTTTGCTTCCATTGATTTTGATGGGTCTGCTGTAACTGTATTTACATCTGAAGCCAAGCCTATGAAAATTAGTGTGGGACACTAAACACAGAATCACTTTGAGTAACTGGAAGTGATGGGAAATCATTGGACTAGCTTTTCAGGAGCTGGCTCCAAACCATTTAGGACTTAGACATTGGGCAAATAAAGTCAGGTTGATGCACATCTTTAATATTTAATAGCATTGTGTCCTTTTTGTTTTTCCCTTAACTTGTGCCTTGTCTCTTCATTCTTGTATCTATGTGCAATGACATGCTTACTGTTTCTATAAATTGTTGTTTACATATTCCACTTACTGCATCCTAATCCATTTATTTTTCTTACAAGCCGGTGAACCTTTATGTGTGAATGGGTGTGGGGGATCCACAACCAGTTTTAGATTTCTAGTATCCTCTTTTTTGACTGTGTTTAGCCTTCTCAAATTAGTTTCCAAGAGGTAAGCTTACACTGGCTTGGAGTTCAATTGTCCTGTCCCCCAAATACCATATTAATTGTGTAACACAAGTGCCAAGGCATTTTTAAAATATTCTGCTTGCCCCCTTTTCTGGAGCTTATATATGAAACCTAAATTATAATAATTAACCAACTAATTTCTGTAGCACAGTCCTTTGCATTCTGATGTGTGTCCCCTCCTTAGCAAGATGATGCTCTAAGCTGTTAGAGATCTTAACAACTTTCATGGCCAGAGCACTTCAGATGAAAATAAGTAATTGATTCCATTTAGCACCCTGGATCAATAAGAACAGGAGGAAATGAACTCCCCCAGCATAAATAGTCTGCTTAATTGTAATGATCACTTCAGGTTTTACCAATGGCTGCTCTTCTGTTTCAAATGTCTGTGGTGTTTCTTGCAGACCTCGTCCTGATTTCTTTTACCGTTGCTTTCCGGATGGAATAATGAATTCTGAAATGCACTGCACGGGTGATCCAGATGTGGTATCAGAAGGCAGGAAAAGCTTTCCTAGCATCCATTCTTCCTGTGAGTTCATTTAAATGTAACACAGTGGGCTTTTTGCTGAGAAGTTGGCTGAATGTGGAGGTAGGGAGAGTATTATTGGAGACCCAGGGTGGAAATATTGCAACGTGTTAATGCATCTTGAATCTACAGCAAGCTTGTGCTGTTTGTGGCATGGCAAACTGAAAGTGGCCATGCATCCTGGAGTGGTGGCTTGCCAGGTGCTTATGCAGCACCTGTTTTGCCTGATGTGGAAATTCATGCAGCCCCGGTATTAGAAAGGATAGCTCACAAGTTGCACCAATTTGTTCCGTGGAGGAGTGGGGAAGCTCTGACTCACAGGCTGGATGCAGATGCCTCTTCACCAAATTTGCGGTCTCCCACGGGCCTCCCACTGTGCATCCAGAGGTGCCTAATTTGTTTTCCAAACTGAACAGCTGTGCAGAGGGATCTTGTGTGTCCACCTATGCATAAATTTGCATGGATATGTGGTTGTGAATGCTGTGGATGAATGTGTTCCTGTGAATGGTTTGTGTTGAGTATTTGTAAACATGGTACATAAGTATGTGTGTTCTTTGTGTTTGCGTAGATAAATGATTGTGAATCTGTATAAATGGGGCATCTGCAAAACATGCAAAACAGGGTGTGGAGCAGCCCCAGCCTTGGCCAGGACTGACCCTGCCCACTTTGGACCTCACCCACTGCCACACATGCAACCCCCAACGCATTTCCATGGTAAAGCATTTTATCAGTCAGGAGCTATACAAGTTGTCCAATCAAACTCAGCGAGGTGATTTTCTTTGTTTCTGTCTTGCGTACTAACGGTCTTTAAATTATCATCTGTCATTTCTGTGGAGATATTATCATTGTTATCTGGAAATGAAACTCTTATACAATAACCATTTCAGCTTGAAGCACAAATAACTGGTTCAGAGAATCTATTCAGAAGAACTTCACACACACACAGAGTCATGTGCATATGGTGCTGTCAGAAATTTATGGAGAATGGCAATTTCTTGAGAGCATTTCATGGTAAAGGATAAACAAACATACAAATAAGCTGATGACATGGGCATCTTAACTCATCAAAGAGCTGGCTGTGTATATTTCTTGAAAGAGTCAGGACCACGCTGATGTAAACATACCTTCCTGGCCAACACTCCCGCCTCCACATACACATCTCACATTTACCTTCCAAGAAAGTAAAAACACAACAGAAAACACTAAATTTGCTAGAAAAAAAAGTATATGCATTTTTATTTAGTGACTAAAGGAGAAGATATTATGCTGGCTTCTGAGGCTACAATTCTAAATGCACCTACTAGGGCAACTTCCCCCCACCTGGTATTCTCTAGATATTTGGGAGTTCAACTTCCATCCTCCCCAGCTATCGTAACTGATAGAGAAGAATGCAGGTACTTTAAATCCAAGACAGCTGTTAGATACCACCTTGGGAAAGGGTGTCCTAGGATTAAGTTCCAATGAATACACTGGAATTTACTTCAGCTTGAACATGTCTAAGATTGGACTGCAGTGCTTAATTTGTTCATACCCGTATATTACCCTGTAATTTATCATTTGCTGGCTTTTTGCTGGCAGTTTGGATTTTCTTGCAGTGAAAAAACACCTTTGTGTTTCAGGCAATGTGAAATGATTTATATGAAAGCGCTTTGTGGACCAAGAGGTGGCCGCCTTTCCACTCAGAGAGGGTCACAGTCAGGCACTAAGCACGTCTATGTAAACTTGACCTAGGCTTTTTCTTGACTGACCTGGAATCTTTTAATTTTTTTCAGCGTAGTATGTCTGTTCTCTCCATTAATGGATTGAAACAGAACTAGGAAAGATGGGAGACTTGTGTGTAGTTGTAATGGTATGTGCCAGGGATCTACTAATTTGGGTAGAAGTGCGTCTTGTCATATTTGTCCCAAGAGTATTTACACAGAAGCCTATTTCAAAAAGTTGTTTATTGCTCAATAGTAATATGTACACAATAAAGACATCAGGAATGGTGGTAGGCACTGTGTGAATTCCAACAGGGGATTAATCAGCTCATATCTAACAAATAATTCTAGTCAAATTTATCATATAAAGTGAAACAAAACCAATACACAACATAGGAAGGCATGAATATGACTGGAATATGTGGAAATTAGCTTAAAGTCTTGCTTGCCCTCTAAACTGGGGGCTGCTCCATATTGAAGACTAGGCTATGGACATGAATTATGGGTCTGGAATCAGGTGAAATGGAATAGAGTTCCTGGGGGACTGTAGAATTTGGGGCTAGGCAAATTGGATTTCTTCTATATTAAAGGAAGGGAATGAAGGAAATGGGTGAAAGGAGAACAGAAAAATTGGAGAAAAGAACTCATTGGTTTATCTCTAGTTGGAGATGGGACACAATCTTTACTTGAACTTATCAGGACAAAAGGGAAGGTATATTGAATGGGGCAACTAGATTCAGAGCATCCACACCAACTTCTAGTTCCTTGTGTTCCTCCTCCTTTTTTTCTCTTGACAAAACTTGCAGTGTGTCATAAGGGTCATAAACACTCCAGATTACTTTGTGTACTGACTGAATCCTCCAGAGGATGTTTACACTCACAGTAGACATGAACTTGAGAATGTGACATGGGGTGAGAAACTTTCCACTGGTTTACTTGGGAGACACTGTACTAAAGATGCTAGGATTCTGATCAGAAAGTTCACGTAAAAGTTAGAACACATTTTCTCAAGTGTGTTTCTAAATGTATGATAGAAAAGGTGGAGCCTGCAATGTGTATGGAAAGGATCTCCAAAAGATAGGATAAGGGTTGGAAGACACATCTCCAGGGATTGGATATGTCCCTACTGGATTTTTAATGAAGACATTGCAGTACAAAGAAACTCCTGCATATATTGTGGAAAAAAGTCTTGAAAAAAGCAGGAAGTGGGTTGCTTCTTGAGCAGAAATGAGGCAACCAGAACCAGGTACCCTTTGGAGAAATGTTGATGAAGGTCCCTTGGAGAGCCTCTGTGCCCTGGAAGAGTGGCCCAAAAGTAATATTTTGAATGGGAGCAAATGAACTATAAGCATCATGAGGTATGCCATGCACTTGGAGCAAATGGTGTCAAGAGTCTCAAGGAGCCCAGGAACAATGAGCACTCCATCTCTGGTTTTTTAAATTGTATTTCAACAAAAAAAGGAAAATGTTGCTGGGTGAAATGGTTACTAAAAGAATACCAAGTGTTATATATCAGAGGTATTTTGTTCAGATCTAATTCATCTGGGATTTCTCCAGGATTGCTATATTTACGGGTGGGGATCTCTATCTAGCCATACTTATGAATAGTCATACAACATATTTGGGATATTTTTATTTATTTATTGTGTACAGTTTTATGCTACTCAATGACTGATGCTTGCTGGGAGGTTCACAAGAATTAAAAACATAAAATATATTATAAAACATAATATAAAATTAAATGTATGAATTTCCAGCAAAATACATGCCAGAATATAATATAAAAATTAAATGTATAAATTTCCAGCAAACAAGCAAGTAGAAGCCAGGTACAGTACAAAGATTTAAAATAGAAACTGAAAAATGAAAATGCCTGGAAAATTGGAAAGTCTTCACCTGGTGCTTAAAATAAAACAGGGGCACATGGTGACCATTCTTAATACCCAGACTTACACTCATTCCACAACTGATAATTAATGATTGTAATTGTAATGGTTAATGTTTATAAGCTGTCATGCAATGCCATGCATAAGGGACGGCATATAAAAGTTTTAAATAAATAAACAAACTGAGGTGCCTGAGCAGAAAAGACCTACTTCTGGGTAGCCAACCATCTCATTTCCTTTGATTACTTCCTGGTTAATATGCCCTAATTCCACTGGGAAGAACTCAGTTTGGATGAGACTGAGTAGGTTATTTTGCTGAATTGTGTCCTAAGTACATCATGATAAATTCTTGACTTAAAAGTCACTTGCTGATTGGAATTCTTGCTCCTTTCCACCAAATATGCAAGCCCTCCAAGGTTACACAGGTGGCCAGACTGAACTTCTTAAAGTGACTTAACACACCGTACTGAAGCAAAACGTTCCTTACGCTTATAGGCCAGCAGTCTGCCGACAATAACTAGAATTGTGCACCATGTGAGTTCTAGGAGGATGATGGAAGAAGGAGAAGGCTTAGTCTTCTTTCTAGTCAGCCAATATGCCATAACATTCCTCTGCCAGCAGATGTTGTATAGGAACACCATTCCAGGTCATTCCAACTTGCTGCATTCAGAAGCACTTATCCAGACATGTGTAACTCTGCATATGTGTCTGCTGTTATCCTTTTTTTCTTTCTGGAAAACATAATTGGGTCTCTCAGAAAAAAAATGATAGCTGACATGATTAAATCCACTTTGCATCTCATGATATGGAAGTTAAAAGCAGCCTGCCAGAGTTCAGTATAATTTCCCTCCGTTAAGTTCGAACCCAAAAAAGAAACCAGCTGTGAAGGTACCATGAGGTCAAGCTATGAAGCTCGGTTGCAAGCAGATAGTCTTCTTTATTCTTATTGTCAAAAATTTGCTTGCTGTGTGAGGGTCGATTTTCTTGTCAATGTTTGGAAAAACATTTTCTTGTAATTTTAATGCATTACATAATATTCATCTAAGCTGCCTGGCCCTGGAGTTGGATGTGCATTATCCCAAATAGCTCTTTTGCACATGGTCCAAAACAGAAGAGAAATTATTCTCAGGAGCTTGAAAATCTTTTATTATGCCCAATGTGTTTTAGAAAGAAATTTCTTTCCTCAGGTGTGACTTACACTTTTCTAAACATGTAAATAATATTTCCAGTGCTTCTTCTGCCTAAAATTGCTCAAAAGTTTTGAGCATTGTAAGACAATGTCTCAGAGTTTTGGGGTTCATAAATGCCTTCTCCTCTTGTTGGTTCCTTTGTTCTCTTGCACACCGAAGAACTCAGATGAAAGCCCTACACAATGTTTGGGGACTGAAAAGATCACAAAAGGGAAAGATCATGATCC